TTCTGTGCCGGGACTGTGCTAAGCACCTTTCCAAGGATTCTGTAATTATTTCTCTGGAAAACCCTTGGAGGCAGGTATCAGGTCACACAGCCGTTGAGTGGCAGAGCTGGGATTCACCCTGGGCTGTCTGACTCCAGCCTGTACCTGAACACCTCATCCTGCTGCCTGCCAGCAGTGCCCACCTCAGAGGAATTGCTGTGGAGATTGAATGAGGTAATGTCTAGAAAGTGCTCAGTACGCCGGGTGCTAACATCCTTCCAACACTGGGAGCTACCATTATGAGCTGGGTTTTAGTCACCTAGTGGGGTTCTTGGGAGATGGGAAGGGGGGTTGCTGAGGGAACATGGGTGTGGCTCTGGGAGGGCAGGCCTCAGCTGCCAGAGGAAGGCTTCATGGCACTCAGGGTGTAGGGATTGGGGGGTACTTGGTGCCAAGCCAAGCATGCTGCCAAAGCAGAGGTCCTGGACTTACATGCGGACGACCATTTCCAGACTGTCTGTGGCCCCGCAAAGCATCAGCCTTTGCCTTTTTTTTTCAAAAATCAAAGTGGAAGGAGGTCCTCCCACCCTGCCCGGTACATTTCTCCTTTTACACTAACCATTTACCGTCCAGTTAGCTCCGACTCCTGGCAACCCCACGTGTGTCAGAGCAGAACTGCGTGCCATAGGATTTTCAATGACTGAGTTTTCAGAAGTGGATCGCCAGGTCTTTCTTCTGAGGTGCCTCTGGATGGACTTGAACTGCCGCCCTTTCGGTTAGCAACTGAGCGCATTAACTGTTTACACCACCCAAGGACTCCATTTATCCTTTTCTCTTGGTTTAATACTTTTGTTTATTTTTGTTTAATATACCTGTACCTTTTTTTGTATACCAATCTGTTTCCTTTCGGAAATAGGCAAATGATAAAAATGTTCCGAGTGGGTGGGAGTGGGGTCGGAGACACAATTCAGAGCATTGCCATTTGTGTGTTTAGAGGGAGGTGCCACGGTCTGCGTCTGCTTACACATGCCAAGTATTGACAGTTCCTAGGATCTTGTGGGTGTCATAATTTTTCTTTTCTCTAACCACTTTTCGTTGTTCAGCTATAATCTCAAGCACACTTCAGCAGCGCCTCAGACTAAGAGTCCACTCGGATATTTTCAGCATTAAAAATGGAGCACATTTTTGAACGTTAAACCAGGTGTGAAGTCTGCAGACACTAGGGTGCCGTGAAAGGAGGCAGCACTGTCCTGTGGAGGTTGAGTCTCGGGGTTCTGCCCGTGACCATCAGAACAAAGGAGAAGGCAGGGCACATCTTCCTTGCTGGCTTGGAGCCTGAGTTACCCCAGTGTGCTCGTGTGTCTGTTGGGGGCTGGGGGGCGCAGTGTGGCAGTGAGTGTCTATTCTGGATCTGTGATTGTATGTTTGGGTAATCGGCCCACCCCAGGATTGCTGTGCAAGTGTGTGTCAGCTGAGTCTCCCCATTGCCGCAGGTGATAAAGAACACCATCTCCTTTTCCAAGCTATTCCAAAGTCGAATTGGATTTTAACTTCTCTCGATATCTCTCCTGAACGCAACATAGTTTTACATCTGATACTTTATTTTCAGACCTCAGACAGAAGTACCACAAATTCACTTTTTTAAATACAGAGAGAGAAATTTGGTAACAGAATAATTATTATTCACAAAGCAAAGTGAGTCTCTGACTGCCTTTCTTCTGGAAATGGTGACAAGGTAGATGCGTCCCATCCTAGAAACGACAAAGCCAAGAACTGAAGGTGTGACTTGCCCAGGATCAGGAAGTGTGCGAGGCATCGTGAGTTCAAACAGACACGCTTTTCCACATTTTGGGGACCAGTTGCTATTGAGGCAGTTCCAACTCACGGTGACCCATATGTGTCAGAGGAGAACTGTGCTCCAGAGGGTTTTCAGTAGCTAACTTTTCAAAAATAGATTGCCAGGCCTTTCTTCCGAGGTACCTCTGGGCAGATTCGAACTTCCAGCCTTGCAGTTAGTAACTGAGCACGTTAACTGTTTGCACCACCCAGGGATGCCTTTCCACATTTAGCACATGCTTAAAATTAAAAAAATAAGCTGTACTTCTGCCTTAAAAGAGAACCTCACGGGCTGTTTTTTCTACCGTGATTACCTTCAGTCATGCCAGCCTCGTGGTGACTGAGTCACATGGCTGGTCTGCAGCCAGGCTAAGATGCCTTACTTACAGGGGGTGTTGGGCTTTCTTGCTCTGATTGACAGCAGCCGTCAAATCTGTGAATCCTGTTGCCTATATAAAGATTACACTTCTCAGTCACCCTTGACATGACTTGGGTCTAACAACAAGGGATTGTTCACAATGATAATGTATGTCCTTTTCCTTCCCACCAGCAGGACCACCCACACTTAGAACACCACATGCTGGCAGGGCAGTCCTTCAGATTAAACCAAATTGCAGTTGGCTATTTACCCAGAAAGGAGTGCGGGGTGGAAGCAAGCCACTGTCCTGGTTTCCTGGTCTTTTTCATCAGAAAAGCACGTGTGCCTTTTGGGGGGAAAACCGCCTTAGGGAAGGTGCCTCACCTCCACTCACAAACTGGTATCGTATTCTGTGTCATCACGGTGCAGGTCACGGGGGACGCAGGGACAAAGAAAACACCGTCCCCTTCCCTAGGTTATTCCCAGACAGTGCTCTGATAAATCACCAAGTGTCTCTTCTCTTTGAAGCCAAGTGTGTGAGTTTCTGAGCTTAAGGGAAATGAATGACATGCCAGATGCGGAGAGCAATTGGGAGTGAAGCGCCACCGTTTTGTTTTGTTTTTTAGATTTGTTTGTTGCTGGTTTAAATAACAGGAGAATGATCCTTCATGCTACTGACAGAATAGCAGTAACCTATGAGGAGCCAGATTTGGTGTCCTCCTGATATCGGCTTAAATGGCGCACCAGAAATTACTTAGGGATTTCTCAGTAGTGTTCTCTAGAACAAATAGAAGAGTTTTTCTACTTTACGAACTTGGGGGTGGAGGGTATTTTACAGACTCAGTGCATCTAAAGAAGGAGTAGTTCTTAGAGATTGTCCAGCATAACCCTTCATTGTACAAATAGGAAAATGGGGCCAGCAGGTAAGCGACTTGCCCAAAACACACAGACAGTTGGGGCAGAACTGGGGCCATGACCTGCCCTGCTAGGTCTTTACCCCCAGTTCACCCCAAAGTCACTGAAACTACTTACAAAAATAGAGGAATATATTGATGGTAGGCCTATAATTGGCTTTCTAAGGAAACTAGGCACATTGTGGAAACCCTGGTGGTGCAGTGGTTAAGAGCTACGGCTGCTAACCAAAAAGGTTGGCAGTTCGAATCTGCCAGTTGCTCCTTGGAAACCCTGGGGGGCAGTTCTACTCTGTCCCTATAGGGTTGCTATGAGTCGGAATCGACTTGATGACGATGGGTTTGGTTTTTTTAGTAGGCACATTGCAAGGGATAGTCTTTGGAAGCTGACTTCATGGAAGACAGCGAGGCCTTCTAGCTGTGACTCGGTCATTTCCAAACTGATCCTTGGAGCCCCCGAGTTCACCGGAAGCAGACTGCCCGTCTGGTCTGCTTCTGCCTATGTGATGCATTGCACTGCTGAGTGAGATTTCTTTTGAAATGAATGAGTCTGAAAAATACTATTCTGTTAAGAAACAATTAAGCAATTCTGACAAGAATACAATTTTGTTTTAAACTTTTTTTTTATTGTTGTGCTTTAACTGAAGGTTTATAATTCAGGTTATTCTCTCGTACAGAAATTTATCCATACATTGTTTATGTGACCCTAGTTGCTCTCCGTACACTGTGACAGCACACTCGTCCTTTCCACCACCCATTTCCCGTGTCCATTCAACCAGCTCCTGACCCTCTCTGCCTTCCCATCTCACCTCCAGACAGAAGCTGCCCATTTAGTCTCGTGTATCTACTTGAGCTAAGAAGCACACTCTTCACGAGTATCATTTTATGTCCCACAGTCCAGTCTAATCTTTGTCTGAAGAGTTGGCTTCAAGAATGGTTTTAGTTTGGGGCTAACAGAGAGTCCGGGGGCCATGTCTTCCGGGATCCCTCCAGTCTCAGTCAGCCCATTAAGTCTGATCTTTTTACTAGAGTTTGAGTTCTGCACCCCACTTTTCTCCTGTTCCATCGGGGACTCTCTGTTGTGTTCCCTGTCAGAGGACAAGAATACCATTTTATCACCATCAGAAATAGTAGGGATTAAAGTTTGGGTTTTTGTTTGTTTTACTTTTCACTTTCATGCCTGCTGAGGGTTGACTGGGGAGCTGCCTTCACAGTCTCCCAGAAAGCTCCCACCCACTTGGTTTTACTAACGGTGAAGGCTGCTCGCTCAGTAGGCTCTCGGGGCAGATGTCTTCTCCAAACCTTATGGAAGCCATAAGCACCTATTGCTCACAACTTCAGTTTATTGTTTTAGGCTCTTGGCAGAATTCTACTTCTTCTCTACTGCTGTTTACCATGAAGGCTTCCCAGGTCAGCGAGGGTATTCAGCACAGCACCTGGCACGTGGAAGACGCTGAACAAATAACTATACAATTAAAACTTTACAGAGAAAAGCCCCTATCTGGTTCTGTTTGTTTAAAAAATCATATTCTTGAGCCAGTCTATCTTACCATATAACTGTTCTTTCCCACGTGCATCAGAGGAAAATCACCTAGAAGGACAAGAAAACAGATGTCAGGAAATCAAATGATTTATTCCTGACATGTTGCTCTAATGAAGATGATCAGTACAACCTGCGAAAACCGGAACCTGTGGAAGGCGGAAACCTGTCAGAGCAGGACAACGCAGATAGTTCCCACTAAATAGAGAGTGACAGAAAAGGGGCAAACTGCACCCTGTCAAAGGCGGAAAGCTTTCGAGACCCGGAAGAACAAGGCAGTCCCGTCGAGTTCCGATTCTCACAGATTTCACTGTATTTAGTCGCTAAGTTATTTTGAACCGACTAATGATCTGTACCTCTTTGTTCCTTCTTTCAGAATGCTAGAAGATGACCTCAAACTGAGTAGTGATGAGGAGGAGAATGAACAGGTAGGACATTCTTTTATTCCGCCATCTTGGAATGTGACATTCACGCTGCCGGCTTCACAGCCTGTGCTGGGTGTGAACTGAGTAGTACGAACTCTGAGTGTGGTGGCCCAGGATGTTGGGTTGTCCTCTGCTGCTTACTAGCTTCTGTGTCATTGGGCCAGTCTGGTAAACTGTGTTGGCCTTAATTTCCCTTCAAACTGTAATTCTTTGATTTTATGACATGAGACCAACCACAGGTATTTATGAGGAAGTAGACTAGGATAAGGCGTGACTGTGAAACAGAGCCTTTCTTCTTTGCGAAGCTGTATGGCCAGCTCACACACTTGACCTTAACCCCATCAGCATGCAACAGGCCAGCTGGAGCATTAAATATTGAGAAGTCTTATACAGATGCTGTTAACACTGAGAAAAAAGCACCCGTAGAGGCGAGCTAAAATGATGAATAAAAAATAATCGTGCTCAGTGTAAGCTGTTTGTCTTAAATGATAAATGTGCTTGAAATGTTCTCCCCTGGTGTTGGTTTATCAGCTCGAGACATCAGTCAGGGGGTTAGAAATAGTCTTCTGCTCCGTCATTCAACATGGAAAAATATCCACTTAATATTCATCACTTTCCCATCTGCATTTCGGGAAACGTTTGTGTTTGAAAACACTAAAGACAGATTTTTCTTACACTTCTATTTCCTTTTTCTCGTTACCTGTATTGTATTTTGTCAGCTTTATATAAATGTGATAGGTGCAGAGACAATTCAGAGCGCTTATTTTTATAAGTCGTTCTTATATGCGCTCCAAGATATTTTTACTATTCACTTGATTATGGAGTAATGTGTTCTATACAAAAGTATCGTGAAATGCTGTGAAGGTGATTCTGCTGTCTAGACATATGGATACAAATAACAGAGGGAGAGAGTGCAGAGGTAAAATAAAAAAGGGCAATTTTTCAGGCAGAGCGTGTGAGCAGAACGTGGCTGTGAGGCCACAGAAGGGGATGCTCGTCTCGTGAGACAAGGCGAGGCGCCCAGGAGGGAACTGGATGTGAAACAGAACTCAAGGGGTCTAGAAACTAAATTGGCAAGTGGAGATAACCCCAAGTGAAAGGAAGTTAATTGAGGAAGGAGGGTCTCTCGTGCGTCGAGTTTTTTAGAGAATGAGTAATTTTTTTCTACGTGTACACACGACGGCAGTCAGATACCTCTAACACAGCAATCTTGGCAGAAACGTACAAGGACTTCACTCCTGATTTTGATTCCTCATGCATGTGACCGGAGTCCCCCGGTGGTGCAAACAGTTACACGCTCAGCTGCTAACCAAAAGGTTGGAGATTCAAGTCCACTCAGGGGCAACTCAGAAGAAAGGCCTGGCAATCTGCTTCCAAAAACTCAGCCATTGAAAACACTGTGGAGCACAGTTCTACTCCGACACACATGAGGTCGCCATGAGTCAGAACTGACTCAGCAGGGTTCATGTATGTGACTCTAAGCAAATGGTTTAATTCTTTGTGGGGGTTTTTTTCCCACTGAGAGGCTTGTATAGGTACATTGTGGATTTAATCCTATCAACTTTGTAAATCGTGCATACTTCATGTTCGAAAAAGGTTTCATAGACTTGTTTCATTCAGCAAGCGTTTCTTCATTCGGAAAGTATTTCCTGAGTTATTTCCAGGAAATATTTCACCGAAAACTCAATTTAAGAAAAAATGTATTATTAAAGGTATATGTGCTCTCTAAGGCAGTAAGAACTTTTATTTGACTCATGCTGCTTTATTAGCTACTCTTTTTCAATGGTAGCCGTCGATAATACATTGTGCTGTGAATATATAGGTCAGGTTCTTTATTCTTGGCATTTGGTCCCTCTGTGTATGCACCACACCTTCCTGTCTTTTGCAATTAAAGGAGCTGACAGAACAAAAGATTTTTATACAGTAATCCCTTGCTAATGAAGGCTCCAGACATGCTATTGTATATGGTAGTTTAAGTTATTGCGTAAACACTAATTAAGTTATCCTGCTTTGGCCTGTCATTATACCCTAGCCTAATCACAAAATGGTAATTCCCAGGCTTTTAAAAAAGACTAATGACATGATATTTTTCTCTCTCCAAGACCAAAATATGATTTTGCCCTGAAAGAGTGGAGCCTGTCCACGCACGCAGCACACATAACACACACTCCATTTCTCTGGCATTGTGAGAGACAGGGAAACCTGTGAGAGCCGGAACTCAGAGGGACTGTCTTGTTTTTCCAGGCCTCGAAAGGTTTCCGCCTTGGACTGGGTGCAGTCTTACCACTTTTCTGTCACTTTGTATTATTGGAAAATGTTTGCGTGTTCCTTCTCCGACAGGTTTCCACCTTACACAGGTTTCGGCTTTCCCAGGTTTCACTGTAATTAAATGTTTTAAGTGATTTTCCCAGGTATTATTCAGAGTTTGTCCCTTAACCCAAAATATTTCAGACATGTCCCTGGTACAGGTATTATACCTGTCCGTGCCTCAAGAAACATGGTGGACTAAAATCCTTAACCTTTTCTTACATGACACCCAGTTTTCTTGTGAATATTGCTTACTCTGCTGTATGGGCACTGTAACGAAGTGACGTCCACAAGAGCATCGAGGGGTCCACCTGTTGGCC